CTAGTGAATAAAGGAGACAAATAGATGAATTAAACTATTCTCAAACTACTATAAATTCTTCTCTTACTTTACTTTATCAGAGTTTATATTCTTACTTAGTCTTATTCGTACCTAAAAAGATTTTTATATTTACAATTAGCCAAGTGTGCTAAATTAATTTTTCAATGTCAAGCCTCGTAAAGTGTTTTGACTATCTAGATAAAATTTTTAACATAGTCTAAGTCTACTCTAAGAGGGTCTTATTGAGAAATTAACTTATTTAGTAGTTCACTTCAAAAATAATTTTTCTATAAAATTGTGAATAAATTTTAAATTAAAATTTGCTATGTTTATTCACTCCCTCTCCTCCACCTACTAAAATTGGGACCATTAGATTTGATAGAATATCTTTTTACATCTAATTTAGTTTTGAAATTAGTTAGATATTTATCTCAATGTCTAAAACTTATATATATATATATATATATATATATATATATATATATATATATATATATATATATATATATATATGTATGTATATGTATCCGACAAGTTTAAAGTAGATGAAAAAACAACACTAAATTTAAGGAAATACATAGTCATCACTTCCTCTTTATATATAGGTATATATAGTAAGATACTATGCTTACTCCTATTTTTTTAATTTTTACTGACGTAGCATTCAAGCACGTTTAAATAAAGAATTTTTTGACTATTTGGTTGTCATATCCTATTTAAAATTAGTTGGTGATGAATAGGTGAACATTAACCATTCAATCACGTCTTTCCATGATAAGTCACATCTCGAAATGAGCAGAGATTGAACTCAGCTAACCCGACCGACGCCCAACAAGCATGCTATAATCACTGTTGGAAATTATGAAATTCCCGACCACCTGAAAGTGATCTTATATCAAGTCGAAAGCAAAAAGTGATCGAAATAACAACAAAGGTTTTTTTGGATACCAAAAATGATCGGAACAAGGCTTTCGACTTGATTTAAAATAATTTTCAGGTGGTCGGAAATTCTATAATATCCAGCAGTGAATTTTTTTTTCAGTAATAAAACCAAAATATTTGACCAAGAATTTCTCTTTAGAGTTGCAATTATAATTGTTTATGATTTAATTTGCGTGCAGTGGGTTGGAATAAGGACAAGTTTGGCATTGCCGTCTTGGGGAGAGTAGTTTAAATTTTAAATCAAACAGGTCAAATTTGATATTAAAATTGAGCTCAAATTCGAGCCTAAACTCGAGCTAGAATTCGAGCTTGAACTCGAGCTCGAGTTCAGGCTCAAATTCGAGCTCGAGCAGCTCGACAATTGCCGAGCTCGAGCATCAGTTCATGAGCTCGAGCTCGAGCTCGATCAGTGCTATCATTAACGAGCATGAGCATGAGCCTACCCGGGCTCGGGCTCGACTCGGTTCGTTTACACCCCTAGCTAAAAGTTCACAAGTGTCAGATCAAGGTAAAATAAAATATTGCAAGTTGCATGTTCCAAATTTGTCAATCTCTTTCTAATGGATAAAATTGAATCCAATTGTAAATAGGAGTAAAGAATGGTGAAAGAAAATAAAATGCAACAAACAAACTCTTGCATCCAGATAACTTTTAGCAATCTTTTTTCAAACTCAGTCTAAATTACTCCAAGACTAAGTTCAAGGGTTATCTAACAATACTTAGAGTCTTTTATAGTTGGAGGATTTGTCAATTTTGATTGAATTGGTGTTATAATAATCTCTATGTGTAGTAGAAAGATGAGGAGTAGTAGACTTGGTGAGCTCTTCTGAAATGCTTAACAAACTTGTGGTAAGCTTGGTGATCAAAACACAAGTTTGATTCACTGTAATTTGTGGAGACAAAGTTACATATTAATGAATAAAGGAGATGAATAGATGAATTAAACTATTCTCAAACTACTACAAATCCTTCTCTTACTTTACTTTATCACAGTTTATATTCTTACTTAGTCTTATTCGTACCTAAAAAGGTTTTTACATTTACAATTAGCCAAGTGTGCTAAATTAATTTTTCAATGTGAAGAGCCTCGTAAAGTGTTTTGACTATCTAGTTAAAATTTTTAGCACAGTCTAAGTCTAATCTAAGAGAGTCTTGTTGAGAAATAACTTATTTAGTAGTCCACTTCAAAAATAATTTTTCTATAAAATTGTGAATAAATTTTAAATTAAAATTTGCTATGTTTATTCACTCCCTCTCCTCCATCTACTAAAATTGGGACCATTAGATTTGATACAATATCTTTTTACATCTAATTTAGTTTTGAAATTAGTTAGATATTTATCTCAATGTCTAAAACATATATATATATATATATATGGAAGAGTTCATGTGCGGATATATATAGCTTCCCGTGCGGTTAGATCTGAGCCGTTGATCAAATCTAAATCAACGGCTCAAATCAATGAAAATTTTAAAAAAAAAATGCGTGTTTGGAAGAAAGCCACGCACCTAAGTGTTAGATCTTAAGCACAAACTCAGGCACATTAAGTACAAAACTCACGCACATTAAGTACAAACTCACGCAAATTAAGTTCAAAACCCACACACATTAAGTACAAACTCACAAACTCACGCAAAGTACAAAATCCACGCACATTTTTGGACAAGAAGACGCGCTTTTGGTAGACGTTCTTGGTAGACGCTTGTGGTTTTGGTAGACACGTACTTTTGGTTTCGGTAGACGCTTTTGGTTTTGGTAGACGCTTTTGGTCATTTAGACGTGCTGCATGCTTCTTCATCCAACACACATTAAGCACAATCTCACGCACATTAAGCACAAAACCCACGCACTTTAAGTATTAACTCACAGACTTTAAGTTTCAACAATTACTGATATTAATCACTACCCTCACACACATTAAGCACAAACCCTATGCAAATTAAGCACAAACTCACACACCTTATGCACAAGACTCACGCATATTATATACAAAACTCATATTAATCACAGAACTGCTCACATTAATGTTGACCTAAATACAAAAATTACAAAATTGCCACTGCGTTTTTTTTTTTTTAAATTTTGGTAATCCTGGACGTTGATTTAAGCGAGATGAATGGTCCAGATTAAACCGCACAACCGCACCATATATATATATATATATATATATATATATATATATATATATATATATATATATATATATATATATATATATATATATAGAATAAAGTTTAAATGCGGCGGGGTCTTCCCGTGCGGCGGTGCAACGGAATTCCAGAATACACTAACAGTATTAACAATATGCACCAACAGTGTAATAAAAATACACCACAATGAAATGCAATAAAACATCACAAAATACACAACAGACTCAAAAAAAATACACCATATAACTCACCACCCCCAATGGTGTATTTTCGAACAGTGTATGGTGTTTTTACTCACACCTAATGGTGTGTGTTTGGTGATGCGGGGCTCTGTTTACTCTGTTTTGTGTGGTGTATTTTCCTAACGTTGATGGTGCATATTTGTTGAACTATTGGTGTTGCCGCACCGTAAGACACTGTCGCACCTGAACTCGCATATATATATATATATATATAATTGCACTCGGGTGCGAATGAAGCGCCCAGAAGGGAATATGCGAACGAATCAGCGCGCCACACATGTACAGATCTAATGGATTAAAAAAAATGCGGTGGTTTTTTCGTAAATAATTGAACATCGAAGTGCAAGTAAAATGTATTACAAGTGCATGTAAAATGTATTATAGGTGCAAGTAAAATTTACACTGAGCATCAATACTAAGTGAACATATGGTTATAAGTAGTTGCACCTATAGTTATAAGTAGGTGCACCTAGGTGCATGAATGTTTGCCGGAAGTGAATGTTAACAAGGCAAAATTACATGCACTTATAGGTGAAAGTAGTTGCACATATAGTTATAAGTAGTTGCACTTATAGTTATAAGTAGGTGCATGAATGTTTGCGGGAAGTGAATGCTAACTAGGCAAAATTACATGCACTTATAGGTGAAACTAGTTGCACCTATAGTTATAAGTAGTTGCACCTATAGTTATAAGTAGGTGCACCTAAGTGCATGAACGTTTGTAGGAAGTGAATGTTAACAAGGCAAAATTACATGTACTTATAGGTGAAAGTAGGTGCACTTGTAAGTGATTTTACTTGGACTTCGATGTTCAATTATTTACGAAAATGCCACCGCATTTTTTTTAATCTATTAGATTTGGACACATGTCGCGCGTTGATTCGTTCGCATATTCCGTCCTGGGCACTTATTCGCACCTGAGTGCATCACTATATATATATATATATATAAATGGATTGTGAATTCTTTTATCTTTAAATTTGAATAAAAATGAATGAAACTACAACAATTAAAAACAAATAAAAAATGTCAAGCATCTTGTACTTAGATGGCATGTGAGAGGTCAAGCTTCAGTGGAGGCGTTGTTTTTTTTTTGAATGCTACTAGCTCTATTACATTGTAGTATCTGTTCATATACTTTCTCAACCTATTGGAGGCCTTGTTGATTCTTTGTGTTTCATTAAGTTAAGAAATGAGAGGTCATGAGATAAAGGCTCAGTGAAATCCGAAAAAGTATGTTTCAACAGATACTACATCTTTCCATAATAAGCCACAGCTCAAAACGAGCCGGGAGCTGCACCCGGCAGACGCCCAACAAGCTTGCTATATTTTTTTTTCACTAATAAAACCAAAATATTTGACCAAGAATTTTCTTTAGAGTTGCAATTATAATTGTTTACTCCCTCTGTCCCATTTTGCATGTCTTACTTTCCTTTTTAGTTTGTCCCAAAATGTTGTCCTCTTTCCAAAATTGAACATCACCATCATTCTACTTTTTCCCAAATTACCCTTATGACTTTTGCTTTTATTCCCAAAAGTGAAAAAGTGAAGGGCATAATTGGAAAATACATAACATTTACTTTAATTCCTTAAAAAGCGTGCAAAAAGCAAATGAGACAACCAATTGGGGACGGAGGGAGTATGATTTAATTTGCGTGCAGTGGGTTGGAATAAGGACAAGTTTGGCATTGCCGTCTTGGGGAGAAATGTTGAGCCAAGTGTTGGTGTATTTCCTAGTAGAGGACTATGCCAATTACTGGCTCCACAGGATTCTCCACTGCAAATGGGGTTATGAGAAAATCCACAGAGTCCACCATGAATACATCGCTCCAATGGGTTTTGCAGCTCCCTATGCACATTGGGCAGAGATCCTAATTCTTGGCTTTGCTTCATTCCTTGGCCCTCTAATGGTCCCTTGCCACATCACCACCTTCTGGCTCTGGTTTATTTTGCGTCAAACCGAAGCAATTGAGACTCATAGCGGGTACTTACTCTTAATTCTTAATTCCGGTTTTCGCAGTTTTTGTCTTTGAGTTATAATTCAAACTAGTATTTGTCCCGTGCGATGCACGGAAAATATATTATAAAAATATATCTTATATGAAGTTTTTCCATATATAAAATTTTTGTTATTTAATAATTATTATGTGTGAATTCCTATGATAAAATTATGAATATAAATATATTTATAATTAAAATAATATTTAAGGTGGGTGATTACTACAAATCTTAAACTATATTAAAAATTTAGTACATAGTATTTAATATTACAAATTTTTAAGAACTTAGTAAACTATAATAGTAATTGAATTACAATTTTAGAGTCACCACGGATCAAAATTTTTATACCTTTGAGATTTCTAACTCTAGATGTAGCAACATACAGTTGACCTTTAAAGACCAAACAATCACAATCTTAGTTCAAACATTGATTTTTTTCTTCCAAATACTATCGAATTAAGTGTGTAATCAATAAAAGATGAGAACTAATAATTCGAGAATATAATCTTAATGTTACTAAGCCTATTTCACGTCAATTAAGTTGGAGAGTGTTGGTGGATAGTATCCAATGAATCCACGAATAACGCATCTTTGTCTCCGTAGTCCTCGATATGTACATCAACAATATTAAATATTAGGCCGCCTAGTTATGCTATATATTAATTTCAAACTTATGGACTTTGGGGTCGCACGTGTGGTGTGCATGCATGCTTCTTAAAGTCATATGGTCTTGTGGAAATTAAATGTAAATTTAATTTTCACAAGACCATATGGCTTTATTATAATTAAGATGTAAATTTAATAAGTTAATACTAGCTGGGGCTTTTAAAGTATAGTGGAATGGTCACGTTTAGTTCTAAACTTTCAATTTAATCACCTTTGATCCTTTAACTTTTAAATTTAACCAATAATTGTGATCATTCCGTTAGTTTAAGTAAGGACAAAGTTAGGACCAGGACTGACTAAAAATTCAAAAATTGAAGGACTACGAGTTATTAAATTGAAATTTTAAAACTAAATGTGGTGGTGTCATTATACTCGAATTACCTCAGCTGATATTAACTTTAACGAATTGATTGGAAACCCGGAAAATGATATCTGGAAATCATTTTCCGGGTTTTCACTATTTGGAAAGAAGGAAAATTTAAAGTCAACGAAAAATGAGTCATTGGTCAATGAAAAATGGGCTTGTTTTTCCTAAAAACAACTTCCCCTTTTCTAAAGGGGAAGTCATTTTCCGTATGTTGACTTTTCACTCTCTCCACTTTCACGCTAGTTTCTTCTTCATCTGCTGGCTTCGGAAACCAGTACTCACTGATTTCCGGCATTCTTCTGAAAACCAGTGAGCACTGGTTTCTTTTAAGCTTTGGTTTCCGGCGGGAAACCAGATTCCCGCCGGAAACCAAAGGTATTTTATTTTATTTTTTATAATAAAATACCAATTTGGTTTCCGCACGGAAACCAGACATGGTTTTCGTATCGGAAACCATGACATGGTGTCCGGCGCGGAAACCCAGATCTGGTTTCCGCCGGAAACCAATGAAGACCTTTTTTTTTTTTTTAATGTACTTATTTTTAAATATTATAGGATTATATTGAAAATTATTTTACTATTATTATTATAAATATTTTTAAATTCTAAATAAAATAATTAAAATATTTATTTATACAATTCTACTCATTTTTCAGAAAATGAACCAAACACACCGGTGCAGTTTTCCATAATGTAACCAAACACGGGAAAAGAAAATGTTTTTCAAAAAATGACTCGTTTTCCGGAAAATGACTCATTTTTCAGAAAACATTTTCTAGAAGTCATTTTCCTGCTTTCCAAACGGACCCTAATTTTAATCTTTAATTATCATGAGTTGCATCATAAAAATGACTCTTTTAGTCCTCTAGAAAATGAATAAACTATTTGTGAAAGTTAAATTTTAATTTAGTTCCTAATATATTTCTAAATGATGAAAATAGACACTTTTGTGATAATTAAGAATTAGGGTTAAAATGGAAACTCATGATAATTGAGAATTAAATTTACATTTGACTTATAACTTATGAATAAAAAATGTAATAATTCCTTTTTATATACATGATTTTAATTATTAAAATCTTATATAGAGAATTAGGTTTCAATTCGATCTTATCTCTCATTGATGTCAAGTTTATAATGTGACGGATATATTAGGAATCGACCCGCACCGACCCGGGGGCGCGAACAAGAACGGGTCCTGGGGCGGCGCCACGTACCCGCCCCGGGCGGGGCCTCGCCACGTGGCCCCCGCACGGGCCACGTCGGAGACCGGGCCGACCTCCAAATGGGCTCGGCCCGAGCCCATGACGGGCTCGGCCTGGCCCCACAGCACGGCCCGATCGCGAGACCAGGCGCGGTCAACTCGGATCTAACCACCCCCGCTTTAGGGGGTGGCGGTTAGGGGCGGGGGTTGTATAAAAACCCCCCACCTTGTCCAGTTAGGACACGATCTACTTTACGGACACACTTTGTACTGAAGAATCATTGTAATAGCCAATTCCACGGCATTTAATACAATCTACGGTCTCACGGTCTTTACTATATCATTCGTATCATTTATCTATTATTCGTACTCTTATTCGGGTTAGTTAAGTCGGACCCCCGGTTTAATTAATTCCATCAGTGGTGCTCTTGTTGAGAGCTGCTGTACAAGCTTAAGCGCTCTCTCCCCACTATTGTTCATCGACAGCGATGGCACGATCGAGATCCAGCTCTCGTCATACCAATGGTTCCCGCGGCACCCAGCTCGTCGCGAACGGGAACGGCCCCAACGGGGCCCCCGCCCCCAGCATCCAACCAGCCGCCTCCGCCAGGTCGGGGGAGGATCTGAGGGCCCAGCTCACCAACCACCGCAGTAGCGGTGCGACACCAGCTCCCCCCGCCACCCCCGCTCCAGCTCGTGCACTCATCCAGGAAGGGGTGGCGGTCTTCGAGCAAGCTTCCACCGCGCTGGCGTGCGTCGCGGCGGGCCTCCGAGCAAAGGAACAAGCCGCCCTGGGCGCCGCCGGGGGGGCGCCGGCGTCGCCTCCGCCTCCTCCTACCCGGGGGCGCAGCGGCCCGAGCACCCGCCCGCCCCAGGCACCTGTCACCCAGGGGGAGGTCAACTCGCCTCGACCATCGGAGAGGCGGGGAGGAGAAGATTCCCGCCGAGACCGTCAGCGTGACGACGATGGAAGGGCGCCGACCCAAACCAGGCCCGCCCTGGAGAGATTGGGCGATCGCGTGACAACCCGGGATAGGTTGGGTCCGAGGCCGGCCAATGGGCCACCGGCGGCGGAGTCATGCTCCCGCCGGCCGCCACGACAGGGATCGGTCACTCGGAGGTCGCCGAGCCGTGGGCCCCGCGCCCTACCGCGACACGAGGCAGCCTTGCGCGGGTCAGCAGGTCGGGTTCCCCGACTCCACCCGCGACGCGAGCAGGCCTCCCAGGTCGAACGATCGGGGGAAACGAAAGGTAGAGCTCCGAGCTCCCATCTGGTGGAGGTCGAGAAGCTGCAGAGGAGGATGGACGAGCTCCAACGGAAGATTGATGAGAGGGACGGGTCTCCGGAGCCCCAGGACGTGTTGGCCTCCCCATTCGCGGACACCATCATGGCAGAGCCCCTACCTCGAGACTTTCGCTTTCCCACCATTAAAGCATACTCGGGGACCACGGACCCGCGGGCACACCTGACCAGGTACAGAGCCGCCATGATGATCACCGAGGCAACAGACGCCATCCTATGCATGGGGTTCTTCGCCACCCCGGACGGGCAGGCACACGATTGGTTCGGGTCCCTCCCGGCGGGGTCCATCTCCACCTTCGCGGACCTCACCCGGCAGTTCCTATCCCATTTCGCCACCAGCATACAGCGGAAGAAGCAAATTGCCGACCTGTGTGATTTGAAGCAGGGGAGCTCGGAATTACTCGCTGAGTACCTCAGCAAGTGGAAGAAAGAGGCCATGGGGGTCGCCTACTTTGATGGGAAGTCGGCCATAGTGATTTTCCGGAACAACCTGAGGTCGAGCGCCTTTCACCAAGACCTCATCAGGTACCCCCCCAGGACCTATAACGACCTGATGGACAAGGCAGCAAGTTACGCTGACGCCGAGGCTGCCGAGAAGAGGAATAAAGAGCAGGAGGAAGGACGTGGTCGAAAAGACAAGGCACCCCAGGAGGAGCGCAAAGCACCGCGGGCGCACCGACGTGAGTATGCTGAGGGGCCCAGACTGAACCCCACACGCTATCTCACCCCGCTGACACAACCAGTGGGTACCATTTTGACGCACGCGGAGGACCAGGGAATCGTGGTGTTCCCGAAGGAGGAGTGCATGAAGATATCGGCGAGGGGGGATCCCAACAAGTACTGCAGGTTCCACAGGCAGAAGGGGCACGATACAGACGAATGCATCCTCTTGAAGCGACAAATCGAGGAACTCATCCAAATGGGTTACCTCGGCCAATTCATTAAGAGGCCCGGCCAGGCGCAAGGGCAGGCACAAGGGCAGGCGCAGGGCCAGAAGCCAGGTAACGTATGGAGGAAGGGGGGTGGCCAGGCGCCATCCACCTCGGCTCCCCGCAAGAGGGACCATCACGACCACAGCTCCGAGGAGGAGGAGAAGACGACGGAGGACTCCCAGCCCCCGAAGAAGCGGACCATCTACGTCATCTTTGGGGGGCCCGAGGGAGGGGACTCACCAGCCGAGCGGAAGAGGTGGGCGAGGAGCTTGTACGTGGGGGAGGTCACACGTACCCCCCACGAGAAGAAACCAAAGAGGGAGCCCATCATGTTCACTGACGCCGACCTGCCAGATGGGCCCTTCCCCCACCGAGACGCCCTGGTGGTTAAGCTGGACATAAACAACGTGGTGGTGCACCGGGTGCTCGTAGACACGGACAGCTCGGTGAACGTCATGTACTACGACACGTTCACCCAGCTGGGACTCTCAAGAGGACAGCTGGAGCAAGT